ATGGAAACCAATTTGACAATAAATTTCATATTTAAAAAAATTATATTTCTCACCAAATGTGCAAAATTCTTGCTATTACCACTGTCCTATTAATTTTTATTCCTTTTTCTCCCCTGTTTTATCTCTCCCATTGTTAGGGGACCCCATTTACATTTACATTAAACCATTTTTATTGTCCTAGAGGTCACTGAGGCCCTATTCTTTCCCTTTGTTCTTCAGGTTGCATTTTTGCTCTGATTCATCTCTAAGTTCACTGACCCTCTATTCCACTGTCATCATTCTGCTGTTATAAGCCAATCTGGTAAATTGTTCTTTCTGATATTTTGCTTTTCAAATCTAGATTTTCCTCATTATTTTTAGTTTCCAGTGCTCTATTGTGATGCTCTATTTATTCATTCTTAGGAGCACATTTCCCTTTAAATCAACAAATATATTTATCTTATCTGCTTTAAATCTTTATCTACAAATTTTAATAGGTGTCATTTCAGAGTTAGTTTTCATTCATGAGTCTTCTTCTTGACTATGGATCACTATTACCTGTTACTTCTCATGCCTATAATTTTTAATAGCACTTTAGACATTGTATGCTGTAGACATCCTAGGTTCTTTTTTCTTCCTCGGAAGAGTATTGAACTTTTGCTTTAGAAAATAGTAAACTCAGGTGAACTAAAACTTAAAAATTATATTTTCCCTTCAGTGGACAGCAGTTAAATCTATGTTCAGTTATCGCAGCCTTCCAGCTATTCCTTTTGGTGGATTGTGTGAATCCTCCCCTACACATACAAAGTTCAGGACTCAATCAAGAATTTGGGTTTATAGGGAAATTTTTGGGCTCCATTCTCTGTGGCTCCCTCTATTGCAGCATATCTCCTATCACTTTCCAGTCATTCTGGAATCCTCAACTTTTTCCCCAACTTCTCAAGCCAAGAAGACTGTGGCTTTTAGTCTGGATTCTAGCCATCCTTTGCCAAGCAGACTCAAGGGTGCTCTCAGGAGAAAAGCCACCTAAGTGCAAACTTGCTCAGTGTACTCCCTTTCTTTCAAGAGTAGAATCTTCTCTAACTTTTTCCTACTTTCAGTCACTATATGACCATTAAGTAGGTGTTATTTTTGTCCAGAGTATTTACTTCTTATTTTAAGAAGAGTTAGTCTGATAAAAAATCACTGTGCCAATATCAGAAATGAATCTCTTTTGTTCTTTTTATCACTACAGAAAGCACCCTTACTATAAAACTACTCCCGGGGTGCCTGGGTGGCTCAGTCGGTTGAGCGTCCAACTTTGGCTCAGGTCATGATCTCACAGGCATGAGTTTGAGCCCTGTATCGGGCTCTGTGCTGACAGCTAGGAGCCTGGAGCCTGCTTTGGATTCTGTGTCTCCCTCTCTCTGTCCCTCCACTGCTCGCACTCTGTCTCTCTCAAAAATAAATAAACACTTTTAAAAAATAAAAAAAATAAATAAAACTACTTCCCTCGAACTAATGTCATTTAAATAGGTGTTTTAGGGGTGCCTGGGTGGCTTAGTCGGTTAAGCGTCTGACTTCAGTTCAGGTCATAATGTCACAGTCTGTGAATTTGAGCCCCACATTGAGCTCTGTGCTGACAGCTCAGAGCCTGGAGCCTGCTTCGGATTCTGTGTCTCCCTTTCTCTCTGCCCCTCCCCTGGTCACGCTCTCTGGCTCTCAAAAAATAATAAATAAACATTTAAAAATTTTTAAAAAATAGGTGTTCTAGATAACACAATTCAATTATTATTAATAGGTGTTCTGTTAGAAAGAAGTGGGTCGAATGGAACTTGGAAATATAGCATTGCAAAACAAATAAGTTTCTTTATATCAGGACTTTTAAACATCTTTAATGTGCTAGTAGACATTCTATATCCCTAAATGGAATATGCTCTTGAAATAATATCCTAAAATTTGTCATATATAATTAGAAATATTCACTGATTCATTCAAAAATATTTATTAAGCCCTAGACAGTGAAGACTAGAGTATAAACCCATTTCTCCTAGCACAATTTGCTATCGTGTTTTAATCTTCTAATTTCACTGTCAGTCATTGATTCAGAGTGGCTAGGTTTATGCTACTTAATCCTCACCAATACTTAGGTTTTTTTGTTTTGTTTTTAAAATTTTTTTTTTAATTTTTTTTTCAACATTTATTTATTTTTGGGACAGAGAGAGACAGAGCATGAACGGGGGAGGGGCAGAGAGAGAGGGAGACACAGAATCGGAAAGAGGCTCCAGGCTCTGAGCCATCAGCCC